CGCGTAGGACGCGGTCTTTGAGAGTGTGAGTGTGTGTGTGTGTGTGTGTGTGTGTGTGTGTGTGTGTGTGTGTTTGTGTGTTAGCCTCATCCTGTCTGTGTGTGTCTCTGTGTGTCTTTCCTCCATGGTACGCTCCCTTAGAGAGCCCGGGTTTTGTTGCTTGGAGGTAGAAATCACCTGAACTGCAGTGCTGAAACCCGAAATTGGGGCCCACTCACCGTTTCCTAGTATCTTGCAACGCTTCCCACGGGGACCTGTATTTCCCATTTATCCCGTTATAGCAGAAGCCTGGGAAAGGACGTTGCACACATTCCAATTCGATGTATTTGATTACATGCGAATATCTTAGAATTTTAGTCTCGTGATGCTAGTAATTCGTGAAGAAAATAGTCTATCACTTCCCTTTGTAACCTTCTGCGGAGCCTAAGTGTTGTTTGGGCCGCTTTTCCTAAGGAAAAAGCCTACTAACGTTTTCCTTAGAGTATGTCTAAAATAATTTGGCAAAGCTTGTATCCCGGGTTCCCCATTCCTTCTTTCTTTCTTGAGACTGGTTCTCACTCTATAGCCCAGCTTTTCTGGGAACTCACCTGGAAATCACTCTGTAGCCCACGATGGCCTGGAACTTGCTCCAATTCTGCCCCAGTCTCCCAAGTGTTGAGATTACCAACGTAAGGCACCATGACAGCCCTTTCTACATTTTTAGAGTAATGGCTGCTCTAGGATATTTTTTCATAGTTGCAAAGAATGTACTCTCACATACTACATGTATCTTAAAATAAAATTACCCCCTCAAATTTTGCATGAGTTTTTCTCTTCTACATTCCTTACAGAATTTTGCCAAAGGCAACATATTATACTTGATAATCTTTCAATTGATGACTGTCATATTTTCTACATTTTTATATATATACACACACCCATATATGTGTGTGTGTATATTTAATACTGAGGCTTGAACCCAGGGTCTCAAGGACTCCAGGCACACACAGTATCACTGATATATCTAAATCTCTACATATGTATGTATATAATTTGCTGTTGGTTTGGGGTGTTTGTTTTTGTTTTTTTGAGACAGGGTCTCATGTAGCCCAGGTTGGCTTTGAATATGCTATGTAGCTGAGCCTGGTGTTGAACTCCTGATCCTCCTACCTCCTATTCCTAAAGTGCTGGGATTGCAGATGTGCACCACTGTGATTGGCCTAAAATATCTATAAATTTTAAATTAATATTTACTTTGGCTGTTAAAATGGTTTCTTCTGAACTGGGCATAGTGTTGCATGTCTGTAATCCCAGAACTTGGGAGGTGGAGGCAGGAAGATCAAGGTCATCCTCTGCTACATAGGAAGTTGAAATCCACACTTGATTTGTTTTCTTAAGAAAGCAAAAACTATTTTCTTCTGGATTAACTTCTCATTATAATTATTAGTACATGGATGATTTAAAAACACCTGAATCTATTTTATGATTTAGTAACTTTTTAAACATTGCTTATTTATTTTTATTTTATGTGTATGAGTGTTATGCCTGAATGTATGTAAATGCATCCATATTGTGCAGTGCCCAAGGAAGCCAGAAGAGGGTGTTGGATTCCCTGGAACTGAAGTTACAAATAGCCGTTAGCTGCCATGTGGAAGTTGAACCCAGGTCTTCAGCAAGAGCAGCCAGTGCTCTTAACTGCTGAGCCATCTCTCCAGCTCTGTAAATAACTTTTTAGATAGTAAAAGCAAAACTTGGAATTCTTTAATCATATCTATTGAGATTTAAGAATTTTACTACAGTTATCTATCTGTAAATAAGATTGTTGTTGGAATGAAAGAGTTTGATGAAAAATACAGCCAAAAGAAGTGATGGAGGGGTATGTGTGTCTCACCATATAGCTCAGGCTGGCCTCAAGAGCCTCCTGCTTTGGCCTCCCAGGTGCTGGGATTACAGGCTGAAGTGAGGTAGAGCTGAATCCATAGCACATAGCTGTCAGGTTTATTAGTAGGTCCATGGTGGGACTAGAAAAATAAGCAGAGCGCCTGCTGATACACAAAAGCAAGCAGGAGGCTTGTGTCTACCTTGAAAAATAAATATGCGTTTATGAAACTTCATCATCTGACAGAAGTTGGTGGAAATATTTCTCCTGTGACCCTAAATAAGTAAATACTAAGAAAACACAAAATTTATTCTGGCTGGGCGTGGTAGTGAGTGCCTTTAATCCCAGCACTTAGGAGGCAGAGGCAGGCAGATCTCTGTGACTTGTCAAGGCCAGCCTGGTCTACATAGTTCCAGGACAGCTGGGGCTACAGGGCTACAGGGAGAAAAAGACCCCCCCCAAATTATTCTTAATGTAGGGTCTTTTATCTGGAACTATGTCCCCAGAAGATAGAATTTTCTAGATATTGCCCCTTAAGATAGAATTTTCTAGATATTGCCCCTTGAAACGATTCAAACTAAGTGCCTGACCTTCAGTAATGGTCTTGGGCATCATCTTCCAGTAGCACAGTGCTGGATTTGGAGCTGAGCCTTAGGAACGTGCGAAGGTTGAGAACTGATTAAGACCACAGATCTTACAAGGACATCTGAGAACCCAAGGCCTATCAATAGCAAAGGCTGGTAGGGCTGACTCCTCTTCTGCGCAGAGAGCAGGCGCCCTCTGCGGCCCGCACTCCCCCAGCCCCGTCAGGTCTAGGGACAGCCCCTGTGTAATGTGAACACCTAGAAATTGACGCCTTTAAACTCTTAGCCCTACTCTGAAAGCTCCAATCTGGAGTCCAATCTGAGGGCCCGCCCCATACAGCTGTTCTGAAAAGTAGCTGATCTTGAGTGAGCAGGCACACATCTCTAAATTTCCAGTAGGTGGCGCTGCAGGCCTGTTTCTTCTCAGTATTGCTGGTAGTTGACCTCTAAATGTCAGGAGCTAGATAGGTGTGCTCCTCCTTTGAATTTGGGAAGAACATGGATAATATGAGAGGCAGAGAGAGAAGAGAGAGAGAGAGAGAGAGAGAGAGAGAGAGAGAGAGAGAGAAATGGGTGACTAGAGTCTGGGTGCTTCGGAAAGAGGAATCATATGGCCTTATTCTGAGAACTTAGGGAATGTGTTACCAGACTATTGTTGATCCATTTGAGCAATATTAATGTGCATGCTTCCAATTGCTGCAATTTTCAGTTCCCAGCATGAGCCAGTTTCATAGCCAGAATCCCACTGAGTTCTGATAAACCCAGTATAAGTGGGCATGAAGACAATGGCAACATCTACCTCTCTGGCAAATGGAGTTTTCCTGGGAACAGAAGCCAATCTGTAGAGCATAATGACTCTTCAGAATCATAGATGCTGAGAAGTAACTGATGACTAGGGACAACTGCCAAGTAGGATAGCATACAAGAGAAACAGTGGGAGACTGGGGGGATGGGTGCCAGTGATCACTACCTTGTTAATCTTTTCAGTGCATAAGTTCAGAGCTGGCCTGGAGGAGTCTCTGTGTTCATTTTCATGATGCCAGCCAATTTAATGCCACAGCACCAAACATTCTTATTTCCTCTAATTCTCAGAAGCTCACTGAACCTCCTATAGTCTCATCAGAAACTAGTCTGTGTACCTGGGGTATATGGTGGGTTCCCTGTGTACCTGAGGGGCACCTGTGGTTCTGTGCCAGCTCATTGCAATAAAGCATGTATCACAATAAAATGAGTCACTTTTTGATTTCCCAGTGCATGTAAAAATTATGTGTACAATGGCATAGTCTTTTAAAATGTACATACTTAGTTTGGGTGTGATGGCTCAGATCTTTAATGCCAGGTGAAGGCAGGCAGATCTCAGAGCATTCCGAAAGCAGAGGCAGGCAGATCTCTGAGATCAAGGCCACCTGGTCTACATAGCAAGTTCCAGGTCAGCTGGGGCTACAGGGAGATAGATCCTGTCTCCAAACAAACAAACAAACAAAACCCACAAAAATAATACTTTAGTATAAAGAATATGTAATTGCTTACTTATATTTATATGATTTTTAAACTTACTATTAGTTATTCAAGTACATTAATAGTGTTTCTAATATTTAATCTATTTCTTGAATGTGACCTTATTTGCTTGTGGCATATTCATTTAAAAAAAATATAATGCTATGTCAGGTGTGATGGGGCATGCTTTCAATCCTGGCAGGCATTGGGAGGTGGAGACAGCAGGATCAGGAGCTCAAGGTCATCCTGAACTACATAGTGAGTTCAAGGACAGGCTGGGCAACATGAGAGCCTGTGTTAAAAGAGCAAAGTTAATAAGAAATAAATTTTAAAAAAGAAATAAAACCCAAGCAAAAATATGGATTATAAATAAATATAAACACCTGTATCCCTGATGGTGCCAGAGCCACTGCATATGCCTTGCATGGCTTACCTCTGAGTTTCATTTATATGGAAGAAAATAAATCCTTATGTCTCAAAAAAATTTTGTTGCTAAAAAATGCTAATAATCATCTGAGCAAGTCTATACAGATAGAATTATTCCACATAGGACTGTAGCAAACCTTCAGTTTGTTAAAAAGTAATGATAATGCATTATCTGCAGAGTGCAGTAAACTGAGGTATGTCCAAAGTCA